CGCCAGGTGTTTTGGGCAGTGAGCGCAGCCGAGGTGTTACAGTAGGAATTAGCAGTTCATATAGTCCGGCCCTCCAGCTCTCTGAGGGACCGTGATCTGGCCCCCACTTTAAAAAGTTTGAGGACCCCTGGAGCACCTTCTGCATGCAAAGCCCTGGGGCCGGAGAGGCGCTGGGGCCGGAGACGAGGGAGCCGTGCTGAAGGAGGTGGCGGTCCCACGTCTCCGCCGGCTGAGGGGCCAGTGCCTCTTCCCAGGGGCTTCAGCCTCTGGGCTGCGAGTGAGCAGGCCATGGACCCGGAGACGTGGCTGTCACTTCGCATGACTGGACGGGTCTGGTGGAGAGTCCAGAGGAGCTGCAGCCTCCCCAGCGGGGTGTGTGTGTGTGTGTGTGTGTGTGTGTGTGTGTGTGCGGGCTGCGTGCAGACCACCGTGGAAGGAATGTGGCCAGAGGGACCCACAGATGGTGTGGCTCCCTGAATGGTGGCCTGAGCCTCCTTGCAAGGGATGGAGAAAGAGAAAGGGGTCTGTGGAGAGTGGGGCCCGAGCTTGGGCCAGAGACGGAGAGAAAAAAAGTAAAAACAGACGCGTATACTACATGTACAGCATTTTCTTTAGTGCCGCCTTTCTGTCTTGGTAATGGCATTTTAACGACACCAATGAGGGACAATTGATATGGTCATCTTTAAAACCCTAGTTCTGTACGCCATCTACAGGATTTAGGGCTTTAATTGGTAATCTCCTCTTCTTAGGATGGGGCCCCACAGACGTGGACACGGCTGTGCCAGGCAGGAGAAGCCGCGGCCATGTCGGGCCCCACAGCTGAGTCAGCCCCAGGGAAGTTCTGCCAGGAACCGGCTGCAGACGTGGCTGCCTGCCCTGACCGTTGGGCTGGGCGGGGAGCAGGGACGTGGCCGGTGGCCAGGCTTTGGAAGAGGAAGAGCCTGGGACAGAAGCAGCAGCGCCGGGGAACGGGCAGATCTTTGTGTTTTGAGGCTGGTGCGGAGTCCCCAGGTTCCCGTGACTCCCCCAGAGCTGGGGAGCCCAGCACAGCACAGCATCTCCGTGCCACACAGTGACGACAGCTGTTCCTCCCCACACGCCCCCCCGGCTCTGTCACACGCTCAGCCCCCCTCTGTTCAGGAGCGGATCCCAGTGCCTGAGCAGCGAAGCCAGTCCGCTGTGAGGACGGCACCCAGAAACCACGTGGCCGGGCAGGGGATTGTCACCGGGGTGCCAGTCCCCTTTCCACCGTGTCAGGGCTCCCGTCGGTCTCTCTCACAAGGAATTGTTCCCCGAGAAAGACACACCCCAGGGCAGAACCGTGTCCCCGGTTCCCACGTTGGTCATGAGCAAGGACAGGGTGTGCTTGCACATGCATGCACACACACACGCATACACACATTCACACAGACACACACACACACACACACACACACACTGGATGGCATCCTAGTTCCAGCTGCAAACACACACATCTTCCCGTCCATGTGAATTTTGGATTATGTCATCATTATAGTAATTTTTTCTATTTTTTTAATTAAGGACAAAGCATGGCCTTTCTCTCCTAGTTACCTGAGGAAACAGGCTCCAGGAGAAAGCCTGTGCGCATCACTCCCAGGGCTGTGGTCACGCCAAGCTGGTCCCTTGCACAAGCAGAGGCAGTGGGGTTGACTCTGACCATCACCCCACACCTGGCAGCTGCCACGGGAGAGTCAGGAGGGGAGGGGGGCACAGAAACCCAGACAGCATCGAGGGGAGGGGTGGGTGCTCCCAGATCGAGGCCTGTGTCGTCAAATGCTTGCAAGCATCAGATACGCAGAGATGTCCGGATCCTGAGAGCTAAAAGCAGTAAGGCGGTCACGTGATCCCAGCCATCTGGTTAACCCAGCGTGTCCTCAGTATTTTAAGTCTAGAACTAAATATAGCCCCCTTTTTTCCCCAAATAGTGCTCCGCTTATTGAAGAATGCAGACAAGAGGGAGCTTTGCAAACGACGCCTGCAGATGAGGGTGTGGGGACTAAAACCTGGCTTAGAAATTCTTGGTGCCCTACCTGGTTTGGCTCAGTGGATAGAGCATCAGCCTGCGGACTGAAGGGTCCCGGTTCGATTCCAGTCAAGGACACATGCCTAGGTTGCAGGCCTGATTCCCAGTAGGGGGCGTGCAGGAGGCAGACAATCAATGAGTCTCTCGCATCATTGATGTTTCTATCTCCCTCCCCCTTCCTCTCTGAAATCAATTAAAAAAAAAAAAAGAAGAAATTCCTAGTAAAGGTGCTAGGCATTTCCTCTTTGTTGTATCAGTGTATTTGTTTTATACCAAGCTCCAAGAATGTAGTGGCTTAAAACCGCACCCGTTATATTTGCTTGGGCTGTGCGGGTTGGCCACATGGTTCTTTGAGCCTGGGCTGACCCTCCTGACATCCGTCTGCTGGTGGCGTGGCTGGGCTGGATGATCCGGGACGGCCTTGCTCACAGTGTGGTGCCTGGCAGGCTGGCTGTCTGCAGCCCTGCCTGCACCTGGTGTGTCACCTGCCAGCTGCTAGCCCCGTGTCTTCACCTGGCGGTCTTTGAGTTCCAAAGGCAGCGAAGGAGGACAAGCCCCAAAGCATGAGGACTTTCCAAGCCTCTGCCTGCTGCTCACCAGCTGTTGTCCCATTGGCCAAGGCCCGTGGTCGGCAAACTGCGGCTCGAGAGCCACAGGCGGCTCTTTGGCCCCTTGAGTGTGGCTCTTCCACAAAATACCACGGCCTGGGCGAGTCCATGTTGAAGAAGTGGCGTTAGAAGGAGTCTAAAGTTAAAAAATTTGGCTCTCAAAAGAAACGTCAATCGCTGTCCTGTTGATATTTGCTCTGTTGACTGATGAGTTTGCCGACCACTGGCCAAGGCCAATACCTATGCTAAGCTTGGGGTCGGTGTGGGAGGAGGCCATACAAGGCCATTGATCCAGAAAGGCACGAGCAAATTGGGAGTCACCGCGGCAATGACTGCACCATGCTGTCAGCCTGAGAGTGTACCCAGCACATAGCAGTTGTTTCCACCCCGTGCCCACGTGAAGACAGCTCTGAACTGTCTTGCGGTTCCTCCCCGTATGCAAAGGCCGCGAGTGTCTGGTAAAACCAAAGGGCGCAGACTCACTCGTTCTAATAGCCGCAGCTGCCAGTAAGTGTGATGGCAAAAATCCCCCGAGTGACTGGAGGCAGGAAGTGGTGGAGGGGCCAGACCGGGCCCAGCACCAGAAGGCAGGCCCTGACCTCCTACAACCAAGAGGCTTGTCTGCTCTCCGAGGGGCTGAAGCAAGAGAAACCACCCCCCCCCCCGCCCCCAGGGCACGGAGGGGAGTGTCCCCGGAAAAGTGCCGACGTCATGGGACACGGGGCACTGGCCCTTCGGGGGGAGCAGTCACCAGAGGGACAGAAGCAGTGTCCCTTTGAAGGTGTAACATTGGGGTCTGTTGGTTAACAGCAACGCCGGTTGCCAGATGTGCAGACCCCGTTGTGAGGTGCGTGTGTATTTACGTCAGTCTCTGAGCGGATGTCCTCTGACTTTTCTCTGGAAGGAGAGGTTCTCAGACTCCTTTGCAGGGCCCTTGTGGGGGTGGGGGTGGGGACGAGGGGACTCCAGGGCTCTGGCCCCTGCTTCACGCCCAGCAGCTAGGCTTTAACAACACAAAACAAAACAAAACAACAGCTTTACTGAGCTAGAATCCACATAGCGTACAAGTCACCTGGTGTGCAACTTAGTGGTTTTTCGTATATTCACAAAGCGGTGCAACACTCACAGCATCGGCAGGTGAGCTTTTATCCGGCCATGTCCGTCTGGGCTCTGAAGGGAGGTTGTGTTTGAAGGTGGAAAAGATTCTGCTGGCAAAACCCGGTTGGAAATGACTGTTCTAATTTTATTCTGGTTGAAGAACCGTTTCTAAAGAGCGTGATGTTCGCGTTCTACTTCAAATGCAAATGAGACCAGGAAATAAACGTGGAATCTGAGAGCGATGGGGAAAAGCCTATAGGGAACGTTCCCTTTTCCTTTCCTTCCCAGCAGGGTCATTTAAGGCCATTTGCAACATTTTTTTAGAGCCTTGTGCACAGTTCTGAGGCGGGTGGGGCTGCAGGGAGACCTGTGGAGGCAACTGAAATAGCTAAGTGGTCAAGTGGGGGGAAGGTCTTCAATTAACAGAAAGGGCTGCTTATAGGAACAAGTCCCCAGGTACCCTTGCCCCCCCACCCCCAACCCCTGCCCTAAAGACATTACTGTGGCATACATCGCAGTCATTGGCATTCAGGTTAATCTTAAAAATAAAGAAGGCCAGAGGTCATCTTAGCAAAATGTTCATTAAAAAAAACAGAGGCAGCCTTAGCTGGTTTGGCTCAGTGGATAGAGTGTTGGCCTGCGAACTGAAGGGTCCTGGGTTCAATTCCTATCAAGGGCATATGCCTAGATTGCAGGCTTAATCCCCTGTAGGGGGTGTGCAAGAGGCAACTGATCAATGATTCTCTCTCATCATTGATGTATCTATCTCTCCCTCTCCCTTCCTCTCTGAAATCAATAAAAATATATTTTAAAAAAGAACAGAGAGAGAGAGAGAGAGAGAGAGAGAGAGAGAGAGAGAGAGAGAGCGAGCGAGCAGTTGGGGGTCAGAATGGGGTGAGCGTGAGCTGGTCCCAGAAACACTTCCCCATCTGGCACACCGCACTAATAAGTGCTCGATAAACTTCCTTTACCATTTTCTTTGGAAAGGTCGCGCTGTAAAGTATCATTCCCCGTCCATATCAGATAAACGAACCATTCACGAACCGGTTTCCTCCTATTAATCTGACCCGTTCTTGGCGGCCTCATGTGGGGGCAGAGGCGGAACCCGGAGCTCCCGTTGTTCTCCCCCTAGGACTCCCGCCTGCCTGCCTGCCTGCCGGAGGCCGGGGCTCATTGGATGGTTTTCGCCAGCCGCCAAACTTGGTTTCCCCGCTCAGAACACAGGCTTATTGCCTCTGCTTTATTCACAGGGCATGTTCCCGGTTTGAGGTGACGCCATGAAGAGGAGACAGAACAAATAAGAATGCTTTTCCGCAATCGCTTCTTGCTGCTGCTGGCGCTCGCTGCGCTGCTGGCCCTCCTGAGCCTCAGCCTGCAGTTCTGTGAGTATCCGGGAGCGGGCGGGAGGCTCACTCTGAAACGGGGTCCTCCAGGCCAGCAAGGAGGCCCAAAGCCCGTGTCCTGGATCCAACTGGGCAGTGGGGGTTGAAAACAAACGTGTCTTTTTATTATTGGATGGCTGGGAGCAGGAGTCCTCAACCCCTGAACGGCTCTGGCATCTTTCCTGGCCCAGGGACAAGCACGCTCACTAGGCCTTGTGACCCAGGTCTGGCTTCTGCACAGATTCCTAAACTGCCTGGCTATTCCCGGATTCTTAGATTCCCGGAGACACTGAGTGGCCCAGCCTGTTTTCCCGTCATGCCAAGCCTCTCCGAGCTGAGGTAGTTGACCTTCTGGCTGGTCCTCTGCGGGTTGTGTCTGTTTTATGTGCAGTGGGCAGTGGGTCGGAGTTGTCGGGGAGGGTGGGGGCATTAGGTATGAAGCTCGGCCCCCTGGGCAGCAGGGGAATTGCCTGTGGAGGGCGAGGCAAGAGCTCGGCGGGTGAAGCCAGGCCCCAGTCCTCCCTGGGAGCCGGTGCTCGGGCTGGGCCCAGATCCGTGCACCGCCCGCAAGCACAGATCCGGCCCTGCAGCCCTTGGCTGTAACCTCTCCGTGGCGGCCCATGGTCTCGGAGTCCCTTCGCCATCCTGTGGCCTCCCTCCCCGTGGAATTGATGACACAGCCTTGCCCAGTTGCCTGGCATTCTCTCCATATCCAGCTGTTCTGTGCCCGGATCCCGCCGGCTCCGCTGCTTGGAGCGCTCTCCTCCTCGCCTCCCTACCTCCCTCCCCCTAACCCCCTCTACTCAGCCCTTTTCGCCTCCAGGAACCTTCCATGGCCCCCAGCGGAGTCTGGTGCTTCTTTGGATGTACATTGTCCTGACTCTGTTTCCTTTTTGGTTTTTTTTTTTTTTTTTGCTAGAGTTTTGTATTTATTTTATTTATTGTTTAAAGTTTTACATATGTCTTCTTTCCCCCCATTGATCCCCTCCCCATTCCTTCCCAGCCTGGGCAAGCCCTCACCACCCCAGTGTCTGTGTCCATTCGTTATGCTAATATGCATGCATATAAGTCCTTTGGTTGCTCTCTAACCACCACCCCCCCCTTTACCATTTTTCTCTAGATCGATCTATTCTTGTTCATCAAATTATGTTGATAATTATATCCCACACTAGAGGCCCAAGGAACAGAGATTCGTGCAAGAATGGGCCTTCCTTCCCCTGGCTGCCGGCACTGCCTTTGCTCCGGCTGGAGCCGCCTTTCTGCTTTCCCACGCTGCCCAGAGGCCCAGGGAAGCTGGGGCAGTGCGGGACACCTGAGTCCGCAAGTGTCCCACCCTGGCGCTTGGAGCCTGTGTATGCAAATTAACCTGTTATCTTTGTTGGGTTAATTTTCATATTCACTCCTGATTGGCTGGTGGGCATTGTGAAGGTATGGTCAATTTGCATATTTCTCTTTTGTTAGTGTAGAGATGAGTGAGATCATGTGATATTTATCTTTCTCTGACTGGCTTATTTCACTTAGCATAAAGCTCTCCAGTTCCATCCATGCTGTTGCAAATGGTCAAAGTTCCTTCTTTTTAATAGCGGCATAGTATTCCATTGTGTAGATGTGCCACAGTTTTTTTAATCCACTCATCTGCTGATGGGCACGTAGGCTATTTCCAAATCCCAGCTATTGTAAATTGTGCTGCTATGAAAATAGGGGTGCATATATCCTTTCTGATTGGTGTTTCTGCTTTCTTGGAATATAGTCCTAGAAGTGGGATCACTGGGTCAGATGAGAGTTCCATTTTTAACTTTTTGAGGAAACTCCATACTGTTCTCCACAGTGGCTGCACCATTCTGCATTCCCACCAGCAGTGCAGGAGGGTTCCTTTTCTCTGCATCCTCTCTAGCCCTTGTCGTTTGTTGATTTGTTGATGATAGCCATTCTGACAAGTGTGAGATGGTACCTCATTGTTGTTTTGATTTGCATCTCTTGGATGATTAGTGACTTTGAGCATGTTTTCATATGTCTCTTGGCCTTCTGTATGCCCTCTTTTGAAAAGTATCTATTTAGATCCTTTGACCATTTTTTGATTGGGTCGTTTATCTTCCTTTTGCTAAGTTGTATGAGTTCTCTGTACATTTTGGAGATTAAACCCTTATCTGAAATATTATTGGCAAATATGTTCTCTTATGCAGTGGGCTTTCTTGTTTTGTTGATGGTTTTTTTTGCTGTGCAGAAGCTTTTTATTTTGATGTAGTCCCATTTGTTTATTTCCTCCTTAGTCTCCATTGCCCTAGGAGCTGTGTCTGTAAAGATATTGCTATGACAAATGTCTGCTATTTTGCTGCCTATGGAGTCTTGTAGGATTTTTATGGTTTCCCATCTTACATCCAAGTCCTTTAGCCATTTTTGAGTTTGTTTTTGTGTGTGGTGTAAATTGGTGGTCTAGTTTCATTTTTTGCATGTATTTGTCCACATTTCCCAGCACCATTTATTAAAGAGACTGTTTTGACTCCATTGTATGCTCTTGCCTCCTTTGTCAAATATTAATTGAGCTCAATGACTGACTCTGTTTCCTTCTTGCACTAAACCATGCACTGTCATCATTTTCAGTTCTTGTATCTTTTCCTCCTTCGCGATCGCCTGCTCTGAGAGAGGGGTCCGCACCGTGTTTCCCTCGGTGCCCGAGGAGCCGCACTGCCCACCACACAGGAGGTGTGTCATGGTGTTTGTGAGGGGGATGAATGAATCTCCGCCTGCTCTGAGAAGCAGGCTCCCCCTGCTCCCCTTTCCCCATCTGCACTGTGCTGGGAATGGTGTTCTTGCTGCCGCCTGCCTTCCCTCCGTCTACCTCCTCGCCCTTGTGGGCGGGAGCCCACAAGTGGCTGGCACCCATCACCGCCTCCACGGATGGCTCTGTGAGGAGGTGGCCTTTCTGCCGCAGTCTGAATGATGGGAGACGAGCAGGTGGCCTGGCGAGAGGGATGTTCCACTTGCGCCGAGGAATGTGGGAAAGACTTGGCATTTGCCGAAACCGGATTGGCTCAGTGGATAGAGCATCAGCCTGGGGACTGAAAGATCCCAGGTTCGATTCCAGTCAAGGGCATGTATCTTGGTTGCGGGCACATCCCCCAGTAGAGGGGATGTGCAAGGAGGCAGCTGATCGATGTTTCTGTCTCATCAGTGTTTCTAATCCTCTATCCCTCTCTCTTCCTCTCTGTAAAAAAATCAATAAAATATATTTAAAAAGAAAAAAAAAAGAAAGAAAAAAGACTTGGCATTTGGAAAAGGCGGTCTGAAGAGAGGAGGCTTTGAGCAAGTTTCCCTGATCCACCTCCAGTGTGTGTCGGATTCCACGCACCCATCTGGTGCCTCTGACAGCCTATTTCTAAATCCTAGAAAGAATTTAAAGTACTCATCCATCCAGAATTGGAAAAGCCTTCAAGATTAGGCTCCCTTAGGAAGTTTAAAGATACTCCAGATGGTTAACGAACCATAACGTAGGAATCCTTTCCAAAAAGCTTGCTGGGACTCCCGGTTGTTTGATTGTATAGGGCTTTTCATTAAAAATTTTCCATCCCTGGGCTGCAGAGGGGGAGGTTCCAGCCCGCCTGGATTTCCTCTCCGAGACGCAGCCGGGACCTGGGACGTGAATGGGGGTGACTTGTGTTCGCCGCGTAGCTTTCGCATGAGGTGGTTCCCACGTCACTGAATTGGCCTGTGTGTGTGTTGCTTATATAACTCTTGTGAAAGTCCCTTCTGTTTTAGGAGAGCCAGTTTGCAGCCGTACTTTCTGGAAGGAAAAGTTTTTCAGGGTAAACGAGCCTGCGTGGGCCTGAGCTCTCTCCTTCTTGGATGCCTTGCGGCGCGGATCGCCGTTGAGATATGGATGCTCTTGCTGCCCTTCTGCTTCTAGGTAACATGGGGCTTTGGCATTTATCCGGGTCTGTGGCGATGGAGCGCAATTGCTTTATTTATTGAATTGCTTGGTTTGGGTGCGCATTTTTATGGTGTTAGAAACTTCACTGATTTACGATACAAAGATATATGCTTCTGTGCCACTTAACGTTTTCATTCCTACCCTGAAATACGGGGACTTTCTCTTCACCGTTTCTTTTGGCGAGTTTTTTGAATATCAGATTATTTCAAGACATTTCGGTGGAGGCAATCAGATAGAACTTGGTTTGCTCCTGCTTTAAGGAAGCAGTACCATCTACTTCTGCACCTTGGACTCTGTGTTTCCTTCTGTCCCGCTGGTAATTTTCTTCTCCTGAAGTTTTGAACGTGAGGAAGTTAGGACACAGGTTACAATGTTAAAAATCAGGTTTTTTCAAATAAGTCCCCCCCCCCTCCCTTGATGCAGAAAGTGTGTCCATGAACCCACATATATTTATTAAGTGCTTATGTGTGTTGGGCATTTTTCTCTACAATGTCAGGAGTAGAGGTGATCGAAAAAGGATAAAAAAAAAAAGTTAAGATAGTTTATAGTTTCTCAAAACCTGTTTATTTTAAGTGGTACTAATATCTTGCTGGATGCTAATAGCCTTTAGTGAAAATGGTTCGTTTTGTATTTTCAAGTCCTTGGTGTTTTTGAGTTTCGAAGTAGGGACATTCCGAGATTCCTGGTTTTTAAGTTGTAGAAGGGAGCGACGAGGCGTGCATATCGTTAGTTGTTCCGGTTAAAATGAACACTGAAGACCGAGGGACTCCTTCAGCGCCACAGAGAAAGGCCATCGGGCTGTGAAGACCCGTGAACAGTCTGTTGTTTTTCTTTCTCCTGCTCCTGTGTCATCGTCCACTTTCCTGCTTCCGCAGCCTTTCCCGGGCACTTATTTCACCCACATTTCACCGTCCCAACCCGCCTTCCCCGCAAGGTACTGGGACGGGAGCGGGCAGGCTCTGCAGTCAGCGCCCTGGGTTTGAAGGATGCTCTGCCTCTTAGCAGCTGGGCGCCCTTGGGCAATACCCCGGGGGCAAGCTTGACCTCCTGCAGCCTCTGTTTCTCCTGTAAC